ACACACACACACATAATATATATACACATATGTATATACGTATATATTTATTGAGAATCTATGAACGATCTCAGACGTTATCATTTGAAGCTACTAAGCATGATTATATTTAACAATAGATTGTTAATAAAAAATCTTACATTAATTAGACGAATTTATTGTTCATGAAAAGTTGTTATAACGCAGATGTTTGCCTATTTGCAGTTTTATCATAGCAGTGGACTATTTTCAAGCGAGATACCCCGGAACTACTGTAATATTCGATATGTCAACTGTTTATATTATCATGGCCTTTTTCGCGGTCTTTGGAAATAACGTTTTGATCGAAACGTTATCTTTAAACACGCGGATAACGTTCGGTAAGAAATAACGATTATAACAGAAACTATATGTAGTTCTGTCTTAATAAACTTTTATTTACATATTAATGTAAATTGCAGGATATCTGGTAGCATTTGTCACCTTAAATTTTGTTATCATTTCTGAGATCTGGTGGGAGCCTTTTAATGTTGACACTTCTTATACGATTAATTTAATCGTCGTTGCGATGGTCTCGCTCGGCTGTACCGGTAAAGTACTTTCTGTCACGAATTCCATGAAAATTTTTATTTTATATTAACCCTCGCAATTTTTTAATCAGTTCAACAATCGAGCTTTTATGGCTACACATCCATGCTTCCCAGTTTATACACACAGGCAGTGATGACTGGAGAAAGTGAGAGATAAACACTAAAATAAATTTTTATTTGCAATTTTAAATCTATGAATTGTTAAGCTGACATGTATTTTCTTTATTATAGGTATTGCTGGACTTTGGGCCTCATTCAATCGAATATTAACCAAGTTTTTGCTCGATGACGAACGTAGCAATACATCCATGTTTTTCGTTTTATCAAACTGTACAATCTTATTATGTTTCGTATTACATCAAAAAGTTCGCAAGACTGATTTTGTGCAATTCTATATAACGTTATGCCAGGAAAGAAATAGAATTACATTAGAACCAACGGAAGATGTTGGTTTGGTACGCATCAATTTTGATTAAGTTGAAATTCTATTTAAAAAGTTTCATAAATTGTTGCTTCTAAACAGATGGATCCATTGGATCAGGCCGGAGATCCATCAAAAGGTCAGTATGGGGTTCTAAAAATTCAAACTAGTCCCTTAGGAAATGAATCCACAAATGGGAACACTGAATTAAATGGTAAATTATAATTTACTTTGATGAATTTAAAAAAGATATTCATAATAATAAATCAATCATTTTTATTTTCAGGAACAAATCAATATTCACCATTCTCATTCAGTAATCCCGTATACGAACCTGGTGCACCGTCAGGAAATCCTCCCGGTAGTGCTGGTCCTACGTACAAAGTCGAAGACGTAGTTGTTATGAGAGGGACATATGGGACACAAACTAGTAAAAAACCGTGGCCAGAAATTAAAAGTACGATATTTATTTGCTTTAAATTTTTATCACGTTAAATAAAATAATTCTTTCTCTTTAAAAATTAATAATAATATGTGCGAACTTTTTTTAAAGAGGGTTTACTTGCAAGATTTGAAGTGGCAAAGTTAATATACTCATACATGGCTAGCATTGGACTAGCATATTTTGTAACACTTTGCCTATATCCTGGAATTATGTCAGAAATTATTTCTTGTAAACTTGGGTCATGGATGCCAGTGATTTTAATGACAGCGTTTAATGCTTCTGACGTATTGGGCAAGGTATAAATAGTCTTAGTAATTCAAGCGTAATCTTAAAATTGAGTCCAGCTTAAAATTTAACTGTTGCATATACGTGTATTTTGTTATTAACATTTTATATTAACATTTCAGATACTTGCATTGATTCCTTACGATTGGAAACGCACCCAGTTATTACTGTTCTCGAGTGTTCGAGTTATATTAATTCCTTTATTTTTACTTTGTGTATTACCTAGAGGCACTCCGATACTTTCCGGCGAAGGATACCCATTGTTACTTTCATGCTTACTCGGTGTTACAAACGGTATTGTTGGTTCGGTACCAATGATGCAGATACCCACCAAAGTACCGGAGGGGCATCGGGAATTAGCAGGTACTATGTACTAGATGCATAATTGAATTTTTATTAGTTATAGTTCATTACGATAATTTAGTTTTCATGAAATTTTTGTATTCTTTTAGGTAACATTATGACTTTGTCATATACTACAGGTTTGACAGTAGGCTCTTTATTTGCGTACTTGATGGATTCTTGTTTCGAGTTACCTGTTCAGTCAAAAGATGTTTGTTATAAAGCATTAAGTCCATCGGTAATGCCGATTAACACTACGACACCAAGCGTTTTAACAAATGTTATGTCTTCCACGATATTACCCACGATAGAAAATGTTACACCCGAGGTAAAAACTACTGTTACTGTATTGTCAACTATCTTTGATCAAACATCTACTTTCATGTTTAATAGTACAGTTAGTACGTTTATTGCTGGTGTGATGAAATCATCCTCAACCATATCTCCGAAAAGTTTTAACGTTACCGCTTCAGTCAATAATGCAATTTTGCAACACTAGGACACGCATGTTTGTGTGCTGTGTTGAATCTGGTGCTGTGTATGAATAAACTTATTGAGATCGTGCGTTATGAATAAGACTTTTATTCGTTAAATATTGCTTTATTTAAATTTTGTTTCGATAAAAGTTTGATCAAAATTGCAGAATATCGCCAGATTGAACACACACACAAAGATTCGAATTTTCAATCGTTAGGGTTCCATAAATGATAGTAATTATCCTATTTAAATTTTTAATACAGTTATTGACGAACAAACAATAATTTTCACAAACAGATGCATAGGAGTCAATAAAAACAAAGCAATATCGTATTTGCTTGTATTAAAAATGCCATTAAGTTGGATAAATTCTCTTTAATTTCTTTATAAAGGAAAAAAAAAATTTGAAAGTTTGGAAAGTTCGTCCTATGTAGATACTTTCCGAATTTGTTGTAATATTTTACAGTATATCTTAAAGATATCAAGTCTTTCATGTTTCAAGTTATAGCTAATTTGATAGTCATTTATTTATTAAATTTTATTGTTGAATAAAAGAAAGAAATTTTAGATGTAGTTATATAATTTGTTGTACGTGAGAAAGAAGGTAAAGGATTTCTTAATTCTTAAATGATACGAGGACAAACAATTGTAACTTGGCAGAGACAATCTGAATACGTTAACTCGTAGTGTTACGTTATTTGTTTGGACAATTTTAAAAAGTAAATTACTAATATTTCTTAAGGTCTCTGCCTAGATAAAAAAAAGAATGTACTGTTGAAAATTGGATTTGGCCTTGTATCATTTAAGTATTAAACGAAATTGCTCGAATGCGGAGAGTTATTTTTTATTTGAAACTTGCTAAGTTCAAGTTGATCCTAGAACTGTCCGGAACGACTGTAATAGGGTGGAAAAAAGAAAATAAAGAGTATCCAAACGGAATACAAAGTCCTTCCCGGTAGTTCTGAGCACTGCACTTGTTAGATCAATGGTTGAGACGTAGCAAATTTTCGCGATCCAGTTATCGTGCAAGTATATTCTGTAAGAAATCGTTACATGTCTGCGTGAATAGCTAATATTGTAAATGTAAGATACGTATACATACTTACGACATACTTCCGTATGAAACCGAAAAAAAAAGAAAAAAAAAAAAAAGAAAAAAAAGGAAAAGAAGAAAATCATGTGTTTCTTTCGAGCGCGTAGTTTTTTATCCATGTTGTACGCCCAAACATATCCACATTGTTACGTGGAACGGATTATAATCAAATATTTTCGATCTTTATAGCATTGAAATTTACACACCAAATAGATGTCTGTAAATCCCTAACACCATATTTTCACACGTCGTGATATAGAAGTTATAACGTATAATTAAAAAAAAAAGGGGTAGATTCTTTACTAGAATTTTTTTCTCTCTCTTTTTTGTTTTCAATTAAATCACATAATAAAGCTCATCCAAGCTCGTGAATTAAATGGACTTAACCGACAATTTAAGGCTCGGAAGCATTTTTACGAACATTCCGATGATGGATTACTTCAAAGTATAAAGATTACATCTTAATGGATAAATGTATATGCATAATATTCACCAAATGTACCACCCATCCAAACAGCTTACAGATGTATTTCGTATATTCAAACTATACATAGAGATCGTTTAGATGAAGCATATACACACAAGGATATAACATACATACATTTATACACACATAAGAATTGCCTATACATGCATACACGTAACTTCAAGATAATGCAAATTAATCATATCAATCTTCGATCGTGTCATCAATTGTATCACAATTTCTCTTGTACGATAGTTTGTTTTATCCAATATTCCTAGGATGGACAAAACCATTTTTAAAAGCAGTATGAATTAAGATCGTTAAAAATTACGAAGAGACGACAAATCATTAGATACCCTTACTTTCAACATATCCTTGTCTAGTGGGCTTTTGAAATTTTCGAAGGGGAATTAAAAAACATTAAAACCCTTAAGGGCAGGGGAAAAATAACGTGTACAAATATATGCGAAGCGAAATGTATAACTTATAAACGAATTTTTTCACATGGCACGTTCCTTTGCAAGATATTTTTTATGAAACATTTCCAGTTTTACAGTCATATTATAGATGAAAAAGATATTTTAGTGGTTCGTTACACGTCTGCAGTGTATATTTTTTATTACCTTTCATTTGTATCGTAAACTTGCATAAGTTCCAAGGTATATTCCAAGATATATCTATTAAAACTATATCAGAGAAAAGGGGAGGAAAAATACGTGAAAAAAATATTCGAAAGAATCGAGCATAATTAGGGAAATTTATACGAGGATAACTAAAAGTGTAATAGAGTTATGAAATGAGTGAGGTATATGATTATGAGTGTACAGTATAAGAATGCTTTTTAAGAGATTGTGTGTAGAAAATACGAAGAGTCATTTTGTTTGATAATCATATTTTTCATTATAATGTCCTATCGTATGTCAAACGCGACATGGAGTAATTTTCTGAACAATCTTTAATATGTACTCGTTAAAAGAGTATTATTAGTTATACAAAGAAGAGCGGATGTAATCGATTTTTACATTAGTCTTCTACATATCAGAAGTTACTCCACAACATAATTAATGATATGTACAAATAATAAATATGTATATATATATATGTATATATATATTATATTCTTTAATATATCTTATCCAAGTATAGTACTCTTTACGAATCAAACATTACACTCTTAAGCATTATCGTTAATCGATACTGCTTTCTATTACAGTTTCCTTTACATTAAGTAAATGATCTTACGTCGTTTCTTTAGTTAGAAAAAAAGGAAAAAATTGAAGTACTAAATTCTATTCGTAAATATTATCTAAATACTGTCACGTAACCAGTAATTCCCGATGATACTTGTTAACAAATTTAAAAGATACAAATTGTTTTTATACTCCTTACTTAATATAATTAACTAAGATCAGTTCATCAAATATCAATGAAATAAAGCTTTACGATTGTTGTCACTCGAGCGACCCGAAAAATAATTACATTCTTAAATGTTACCAAATTTCTGCCTCTCAAATCTTTTACCCGAATGAAATGGTAAACGCCATTCTATCACAGTTAAATAAATTGAATACGCTAAGTTAAATGTATATATAGTTTTCAAACAGTCATTTAAGATACTTTGCAGCCCAATCAGTTCGGCCGTGAAGACTTCCGCTGCCTTTCGTATTCAGCACTGTTCCATACGTATTTGGTTGAATTGTACCTTTGTTGGTATTTTCTATAAAATCCATAAATTGTTAATGTTAAATTGATAATAGATCATTGATAGTAAATTATTATAATACTTTGTGATTCATGATGAAAATATTTTACTAAACATAGAAAAAAAGTCTGTCTTAGAAAATTAAAGCTAAATTTGATTACTCACTGATATTTTGCGTACCATAGACGCTAGGATAAGGCAACCTTAAAGTCTGATCGGTAATAAAACGATTTCGTGGAACGTAGTACTGTCTTGACGGATTCTCAATGGAATTTCTAGGTACCCAAAAGGAGTCAGTAAATTCCTCGTACTTTTCCACTGATTGGCCAACCAGATTCCGCATTAATCTAGGTCTGTTCTGGTCGGGGTCGCCATTTCTTCGAAAGTGAGAAAAAAAAAATAAAAATCATTAGATAAAAGTCACGGTTAAATGAATCGATAAAAATTCCATGATTCGTTAAATTCATCGATTTAATTTATTGAACACCTTCGATTTACAATAGAAATGGCAGTATACAAGATATAAAAAAAAAGTTAAGTAGAAAAATCTCTGCTACATTAATTTCAAAAATCAGTCACACCCATCGAACAGTACCCATTACAAAGAGCTATATTGTTTGAAACAAATATTCTATCATACACATGAAATGTTTGCATAACGTGTTTTGCCAGGTTAGACAGCACAGCAAAGTGCACCCCAGTATTATCAGCAAGGTCGGGATTCGTTTTACAAGATGACGAAACATTCGATACCTGGACGATAAACTCGCGTTTTGTCCTGTGATGTATCGTGCCACGCTGAAGTAATGTTGTTTTCCCGAGGCTTTCCGACCGTTTTTTATATTCGTCTGTAACTGGTTCCAATTAATGGTGTTTGGCTCATTCCAGGCCGGCAGCACCCAATTTCCATTGCTTTGTCTCAGATTATCTGGCAAATAATTGGCATTCCAATTGGCACGGTTCTCTTTGTATACTCGTTCTGGGACTAGCTTTGAGTTCGCGTTCTCGGGAACAATCTTGCTACTGATGTGGACAAGTCAATGATTAGAAATTAAGCAGAACGTGCTGCGGTTGCAGAGAAGATTCCATTTAATACACGGTTTTTCGATTTAGCAAATTCGCGCAACGCACCCCAAGAGTTCCGCAAAATCGTCCTCGTCCAACTTTTGGGGGTTGCTTTCGCGCATGTAACTATTATGGTTCAAGCCCTCTGTAAATAGACACACCGAGTTCATTTCCTATCTATGAATGCTAATTTATAGATATAAATATCGATTCAACTCACCTAGATTCCATCGGTGTCCCGATAACGTCGTGTTGCGGATAATTATATGATTTTGAAACAGGGATCGAAAGATTCACTTTATTCAGGAGGAGATCTCGTTGAGACGTAACACCAATCTTTGTACTATTAATTACACGTGGAACGTTCACTTGAAAATACGGATACCTAAAGAATAGAAATAAATAATAGAATAGAAATAAATCTAAACTCTTATTTTTGAGTTAACTTGTATAAAATCAAACTACCTTAAGGATTGCTGTGCTGTTGGTCTTTTAATGGGATTCCATTGTAACATATCTTCCATAATTATTACTGCCTCCTGGCTGGCATTCGGTATCAAAACGGTTAACGATGTGCGAGAGAAATTCGGAAATTTGAAATTCATGGCAGCCGCTAATTGATATCCATCTAGCCAGTCGTCTTTTTCTGGTGTACCGATCACCGAACATATTTTAAAGATCTCATCGATCTCACTTTTCCCGGGAAAAAGTGGCCGAAACGTGTACAATTCAGCCATAATACAACCCACTGCCCAAATGTCGATCGGGCTGTTGTAAGTCGTCGAATGAAGCAATACTTCCGGTGCTCTGTACCTGAAACAAATTTCCTGAATAAGTCGTAAATAACACGGTAATACTGTCGTCAACAAGAAAAGCTTAATAATTTTGATAATTCACAGTAATTTATATATCTTATACCGAGAAATAATCTTTAAAAACATTTCTTTATTTTCAATCTTTCGTTATTATTTCTTGTAACGTAAAATTTTGGCAAAAGCATTTTAGGACTATCTTTAACATTCATCTTAAATGTAGTTCATGTAATTGATAAGTCACGCAATTTTGTTTAATTCTTATTCCATAGAAGAGACAGATATTACCATCTGGTAGACACGTAATCTGTATAAGGTGGCCTTGACCGTATTTCCCTGGCCAAACCGAAATCAGCGATCTTCACCAGTTCCGGTCCCATACACAATAAATTTTCAGGTTTCATGTCACGGTGGAAGAAGCCATGTTTATGCATGAACGCCAGTCCTTGCAACACTTGATATACTATATTTCTGATTACCGGTTCAGGGAAAAGTTTGTCCCTATTGCATAATATACTTCTAAATGTATATTCACCAAATATTAAATACTGAACATAATTTTAACCATCTTCCTACCTATCCTTCATTAATTGATAAAGATTCTCCTTCATATACTCGAAGACAAAGTACAACACGTCGTTCTCACGGATCACTTCCTTCAATTTCACTACATTGGCATGACTAAGTTTTTTTAAAGACTGCAATAAGAAAAGTGCGAATTATTTAAAAATTTGGTTTATTTTTAATTATTTCAAGATAAGAAAATAAATTGTTTTTCTTCGTTACTTTAACTTCACGCAGATTCATCGCTTCTTCCCAGGAGTAATATTTCCTCTTCATTCTTTTTATAGCAACCTTCTCTCCAGTATCAATACGTTCCCCGAGAACCACGGAACCGAAAGTTCCGTCCCCCAATTGATTTAATGTTATATATCGATTCATTTTCATCGACGTTGTATTGTCGAAGGTTATAACATTTCTTCAGCTTGTAGGCTGATTGTTCGTATTGAAGCAGTCTGTATGCATCATATTAATTTCTGAAACAAAAATCATCTAATTGTATATGCGAGTGATAAATCTAATTTTCGTCCATACATTACACAATTACTCGGGTTTTTCCCGTTCGAATACGATATAAATAGCGTGCAAACAGAATTTGTACCACGTGTTTTTCGAATATAGCTTTCGAATATAGCTAAGTAAGGATTAAAAGGTCAAATAGTTTTGTCTTGCTTTTCATTAGCCATCATCTATATGATTAATTAGAAAAAAGTTCGAGTGCAGATGTTTACAGTACTTCTTCTCTTTCGATTTTTTCCGCAGTTCAAAGATAGTACAGTGATTGATCATTCACTACGAATGAATGTCTATTTTTTAACACTATATCTATCAGAATAGTCTAAATGACTGATTTTGGACTTTATCTTTCTACGATTACGGTAAGCTTATAGCTGTTTTTAACAAGATTATCGTTTTATTGAGATAAGAATGTATTATATAATTCCGTTTACCAATAATTTGTTTAATTGGTGTAGTATTAAGCATTGTTTAAACAATGATAATAATTTGAAATGAGACAATATCTCTTTTGCATAACGTACTCAGTCGCTTATGATTGTCAATTTGTCGTAAATCGGACTTTTACTGTATAACAATGAATCGTTCTCGTATCATTATTAATTAATACACAATACTCGATAACTTTTCATACAGTCGATTTACAAGTTCACACTATCGACTTCTGTCGATAATTAAGTCTGATTGCGATATATACGTGCATGAAACAAGAAGAAAGAAAATCGGTAAATCTTTTCCTATTTTATTAAGATTCTATTAAGATTATTGTTCTTTTTCAGAGATAATATGTATTTGTTATGTAAAAATAATTTCAAGAACTAAACCAGTGTCCACGCAGATTAATCGTGACACATAACCTTCGTTCGGATATTAGATTTATTATCGTTATTTAGATTCTTAATAAAATTAATTTATTTTGTGCTTCTGAGATATGTGATAAAATTGCTCGAAGGATTAAAATTTGTTTTTGCTTATTGAAGATGATCATATTGATAATCGGCAAATTTACTTGTGATATTGTTGATATCGGTGACAAGAAATCTCAGCTTAAGAAAAATCGCAAAATCGATTTAAAACAGAAGACTGTATACACTATGACTCATATAAAACTGCTTAGAAATTCATCGAGTTAAAATTTTATTTTGTTACTAAGGTAAATACTATCGGTGGGAAATGCTGACATAATGTTCGTGAAATATGAAACGCTTACCGATACCGGCATGCATGGTCGCTCGGATATGCAAGTTGATTGCTGAATTTCAACTACTTTCAAATAATGACACTTGTTACTTTCTAGATCGATGAACGGATTTATACTAAAGACACGTGTACTCTATGTACCATGCATATGAATAAATAGTGAAAAGCTCGATAGCGTGTGCCTTGCTTGGTATTTCTACATGTTTAAAATTGATTTGAAAACGAGGAAACATAGCATGCTTTTAATCCGAATAGCATAATTTAGAAAAGGAAGATTAATCATCAGGTAATAAAATTGATTATTAACACTCTACAACTTAATTTAATTAATTTCTTGTAATTTAAATATAAGGAATTTAAATATAGCGAATTGTCGTCCAAAGAATTTACAGGTTATTTTTCCCGAAGTTAGTATAAGTGAAATGTGTTTTAGGCAGTTTTATTAAGGCACGATTTATTCTCTATTTCATCGATAATCGATTTATAACATGCTGTTACAATATTCTGGTATACTCTACCTTACGTAACGCGTCAATAAAACAAACATTAAGTATATGTACAAGGCAATAATACAGAAGTTTCTAAGAGGCTGTCACGTTACTACAGGTTGTCATACGTATATGAAAATTAACATTTCTAACAATTCATACGCGTAACGCTATCTTCTGTCCCCGTTTTTAAATCAATGTCAATTTGACATTGAACGGCGTAAAACAGTAGGGTCAGCAGTTTCGACCAACCATGTACGATAACCCAGTTATGTCTTATTATTAGAGAGATTAATTAATGACTTTACCCCATAAGCAAGAGAATGTAATCCAGGTCAAATTGAGATTAGCATTTTCTTAGGCTCGCATGCGGGCAATCTCCGTGACGGGTCAGTCATGCGAGGATATAGATTTTCTTAGGTTTCACGATTCAAAGGAAACATTATCGAAAGTTATATATACATAGCTCACTACCAAAGTTCTGACTTTTTATTAAAAATTGTATATTATCTAATTGTATTTATCAATATCTTTCTGGTTAATTTTTCTTACAGATCTAGCAAATGTTGCAAATTATTTATAATATGAGTATCGTATAAGTCATAAAATGTTTATATTACATACAGTACAAAATGTACATTTATATGAATTCACTATTATAAGATTTAAAACAAACAGAATTTTCACTATAAGATTTCATAAATAATCTACTAATTTACATATTAATTTACATATATGTGATGAATGGAAAATAGTAACAATTCATTTGTATGGTTTCAGGGATAAGAAATGTTTAATATTTAATATGGTTGTTATGTGATTGTTCCACCTAATATTAAAATTCTATTAACATACAATTAATAACTTGCAATGAAGTAAAAAAGAAATAATTCCGTTTCCATGGTTAGTTGAATTTTATCCCGATTCTTTTTAGTTCTTCCTTAATACTTGCTGTGTTATATAAATAACTAATACATACATACATAAAAACAAAATCGATCAATCATCGTAACATTGAACTATTATTAATATTTATCTTAACACTTTCATGCAATTTATTTTACTGTTTAATTATTTTACTAATATTTAAATAATTTGTTTATATAACTTGGAACATTTTTTTGCGATATATAAAAGGCGATGATATTTAAAATACATGAAACAATTAAAATTAAATTTACTGTATGGTAGTTTAACCGGAAGTGCTAGGAATTGATAGCGTGGTATATTAAAATTTCAATATTAGATGAAAGCATGAGCAAATACAGTAACATTAATTTTACTTACGATGAAAACCATCTGGTACACCAACATTCCACGTACTTGATTACCTTTCTGCGCAATGTTTCTTCGCAAACTGTTAATCGAGCGGCCATGCTTCACTGTGTAGCCATGGTTACAAATACTAACTGAAACTTGAACCATTGGTAGTTGTTTTAACCCTTATCATGACGATTCGTTAGTTGCGCCCTTATTCATATATAAAAAAAAACAAACACTGCTTATTACAATTATCATAAATAATTCAATTATAAACAGAACTTATTGTATAGGAAATGGTAGATAGATAGATAACAAGTGGTACCATTTGTTAAAGGTCCTTCATCATTTGTAGATGCAAAGGAATAATTTTAGAAGTTTACTGCAAGAATTCAACGTTTCCTAATTGTATTAAAATCGCTAAATTAAGAATTATTTTATATTGTTAATAATCTTACAAATATATATATATATATATATTTCATACTTTGAAATGATTTTTAATTTTGTTTTACATAGTAGTTATTAAATCTGCTATAGAAAATTAGTATTTGATACAGCTATTAGTATTGTCAAAGAAAGTGTATTAAAAGTGCTATTGAAATATGACATAAGAAATTGGAATCCGCGAAAAGAAAAAAAGCAGGGAAAGAAAGAACGAATAAAAAAGGAACAAAAGTCCGAAGAAAACGTAAAAGAAAATGCAACTGAAAATATCAAATTGTATGTAACATAAAAGTATTATTTATTAATATAATATATTATTATGATTATTATTAATTTATACAGAGTTAATTATAAATAATTAGAAAACACTAAATAAATAAATGTTACGTTTTGTTTCTTAAAAGTTGTAATATAAATGGAATGTTCACTTTGTTATATAGGTTAACAGTGTTTCCATATATTTATAATAACACATATTTCCATTTATACAGTTTTTGGTAACATCAAATATTTTACATAATTTGTTATATTCCAAGAATTGATTCATATAATTTTTCATAAATATATTTTGATTGGACTATGGTATCTACGAATATGAACTATTATAAAACATTATTCCAAAATGATAAATGAAATTTAAAGAAGTGTATTCTTTTGAAGAAAATATGGACCATCTGTGAGATTTCCTTATCAAAGAGTATAGGCAGGGTAAAGAAATTTATGTAATAAAACAGAAAGAGTCTTTATTAAGATGTATGCTAAGTGCTGGGTGTCTAAATGATTATGAAGGTAAAATTAGCAAATATTCTGAATGTATACCTAAAAAATGTGGAATTATAGCTACAGATTTATTAGTGAAATCAACAAACACTATGAACAGGAACATTAACACAAACAATTTTGGAGTATCTTTAAATAAAATATTTTTAACAAAACAATAGGAAAGATATAACATTCGTTATACAACTTTACTTTATCTCGTCGAAGAAATTTCGAGGGTAGTCGATCTGTATTTTGATAAAAATAATGTTAAAACGATAATAGAACCCCGTAAAGATAAATAATCTTAAGAAAAAAATGTTAGACCCAAGGAAACAAGAGAAACATTATTTCAATTTTATATTTTTATAGGTAAAGTATTTATGTTCACTTCAGGTAGTGAAAATTTACATGCAATTGGAAAAATACAATCGGGAACTAGATATGCATTGATCGTACCTTTTACGTGTGATCCAACTTCCGCAACTCCCGATCCAAATTATCGAACGAAACTAGAAAAATAAAATTGTTGCATAAATAAAAATTACGTATACTTCTTAATTTTATATCCAAAATTATTCTTTTTTAATAAAATACTTTATTCCGAAAATTTGTTTCTAATTTTGCATTTTATATATACGTGTAGTACATAAGTATTTATGATAATAGATATTTATGTATATCAATAGTATTTAAAAATTTTTCCAATTTGTATTTCAAATATTTATTGAAATCGGATTAAAAAAAATATTTTTAAATTAATAAACACTTTATTTGATGTTTTTTATTTCCTTATCAATATGATACAAGAACGTATGTAACATATAACAAATGCATACTGTATGCGCTTAATGGTAATTAAAATAATTATGAACATGTACATATTTATTATTTAACAAACCAATCTCTTACTGCTAATAACAAAATATAGTATAAATAGTTGCTTTAAATAAAGCATTAAGTATGTTATGTGCAATATATTGTGAATGTATATAAATATATATAGAATATATATTGAAGTTTATCACTAGAATGTTTATGTTTTATTACATTTATTCAAATACACTATTTAAAAGTGTAAGAGTGGAAAAAATGTATAAGAATCGTCAATTGTTACTAGCACATATTTTTTTCTCTTTTATAGTATCATAATTTCGTAGAAATGTAGTTGTGAAATAATATATAATAATATAAAATTTAATGAAACAATGCTGTGTGTGTATATATGTATATGTGTATACTATATGTATACTATATGTTTATGCAATGGTATTTGTCCACTGTAAAACCATTACAAAAACCTATAGTAGATATCCCGAAATATATTACGAATATTTATATTCAATTTGTTAGGAATGTTTGCATTAATACCCATTCATAGTATGCGAAACTATTACAAAAGAAACCGTAAAACTACTCCTTTATCTTGGTACCTTCTTTATTTCACAATCTAAGATATTTACGATTAAAAAATAAAAATATTGGCTAGATAACTTAATAATGCAGATGATATAAACAATGCATGTAGAAACCTGAAGAGAAAAACATTTGTACAAAAGGAATTTCAGAGAAAATATGTAGGAATCATATTAAATATTAAACATTAAGTTTTGATGATTTCCATCAACATCAATGTACATTGAGAGTTCTTTGGAATGTACCTATGTAACATTTATGTACATTTAAGTAATGATATTAATATTATAGAATATTTCTTTGAATTTAGAATAATTTCATAAATTGGAATATATCTTTTACGTGTTTAGGATATTCGCAATTTGTAATGCACTTTTCCCCACTAAAATGCTTCTGTGACTTCCTGGTAGTTCTTCAATATGCACCTTGTTGTTACAAATCTAAACATTGAAAATATTATTAAAAAAATTAATTAATTTTAATATTTAATATTTAATATTTAAATGTAATAATTACCTTTGATAAACCATAGTCTTTATTTAAAGATACAAAATTATCTTTAGCCTTAATTAATAAGACATCTCCATTATATACAGAATCTGTTTTATAAAAGTAAGCTGCAATCAGCTTTTTGTAGAACAGTGAAGCAGCAATCTTTAAATCTTTAGATTTCAGTTGAGAATTGCTTATTAATTCCACTACTTTATTTAATATTTCTTCTTCAGAAGAGATTTGTGTCAAAATTTCATATGCCTAGAAAAAATAGAAACGATAAAGTATAAATAGTAAATATATGAAACAATGTGCGATAATGTACGGAAATAAGAATACCTGAATAAAATTGATCTTTGTATTAAACTGTCTAATAAAATATGACATAGCCTTTCGAAAACCGTCCGTACTTATATCTATGGTGTCGTCAGTAGCGTGCTTTCCAATTTCTACAGAATGTAATTTGACAAATTCCGGCGAACCATCGAGAAGAGTTAAAACTACTGTATTTCCGGATTTCTCTAATTGAAGACCCATTTCAAATGCAACACAAGCGCCGAAGGAATACCCTACTACATGATATGGTCCTTTACTTTGAATTTTTCGCATTTCCTGTATATAAAAGGCAGCTAATTGCGATATTGACTCCAATGGACTATCTTTGACACATTGGAAGCCCCAAGCAGGTCGATCCAATTCACTAGCCACCGTTTTAAATAATGTACTAATTCCTTCGATAGCATGAACGAAGAATACCGGCTGTCCCTTTGAATTCTTTGTTTGTAATTGTATAATAGACTTCATAGGTATGATCTCTGTACTATCAAACTGGAATAATAATTCTGTTATAGAATCTTCCTCTGACTGATCTTCAGCGCTTGGAACTTCTTCCGTTGCAACACCACCGTTAAACTCTGACAACTTTTCAAATGACAAAGTTCGAATTTCTTGGGCTGATAATACCAGATCGTAGTTCCTTTCAAGTGTCTGTTTGATTTCCGTTCCCATTAAAGAGTCCATTCCAAGATCCGCCAAGCTAATACTTGGGTTAATGCTGTCTAGTTTTTTAATGCCCAAGATATTGGCCACTGCTTGTATTATGCTCATTTTATTTGCATTTTCTGCACCCTTGCGTTTATCTGCTAAAACATACGTGGACAGAACCGGATGTGGTTGTTGAAGGAATATATCCATTGTTTCGAGACAACTATGTATGCGCTGTGGCGAAGTACCACCAATCTCTGTGTCATTATAACGACCCATTGTCTCTGTAAAAATATATGAAAAAATAAAGTATATTTAAGTATTACATTTCAAATGCAATAATAAAAAAATTTACCTAAAATTAGACCAACATCTCCAATAGCTCCCCACTGAATAGCAAGACCAGGTAAGCCATTCGTTTGTCTCTGTTCCATTATCCTTTCCATAGTAGCATTTGAAAGACCATAATTAGTCTGACCCACATTGCCTCTTCCGCTTGTGATAGATGAGAATACAACAAAGTAGTCTAATGCAGAACAAACTTCTCGTGATACGACATCCAGATTCTTGGTTGCATTAATTTTTGGTAATGCCGATGCCACAAAATCGGTTTCTTTGAGATTTTCGATAAGACCATCTCGAAGAACAGCTGCCAAGTTAAATATACCTCCAACCGGAGCGAATTCGTTACTTTCTTTAATAAGTTGTTTGGCTCCAGCCAATGTCGTTACATCCACTGTAGAGACTTTGATATGTACACCTATTTCGCGCCAACGACGAATGCATAATGACTGGAAACCAGTACGTACTCCAGACCTCGAGGTCAGAACTATGTATTTAGCACCACGCCCAATCATCCAATCTGCAAGTTCCAAACCAAATCCACCAAGACCGCCAACTAGTACATACGATTTTTCAGGATTCATGTATGTACGTGGAATAGCCGCAACTACCTTCGCTGATGGCTGTATAACTTTCTGTTTCTCCTCATCTCGAATCTTCAGTAAAACTTTACCAATATGTTTACCGGTAGCCATAAATCTGAACGATTGTTCAATCTGTTGCTCTGAAAATACCGTGGAAGGAAGTGGGCGAACAGCGCCACTCTTTATTCCCTCACTAACAAGTCTTACAACTTCTTTTCTCTCTGGACCATCTTCTTCACAGATTGCGTCCAAAAGTATTCCATGGAAAGAGGCATTCTTCAGGAATACGGACATTCCCAAAGGTGAATCATTTGACAAGTCGAACTTTCCAATTTCGAGAAATCGGCCACCCAGCGCGAGACATCTGATGCTAGCTTGTAATTTCTCCTCAGCTAGTGAATTTAACACTATATCTACACCACGTCCATTAGTCTCAGTAAGTACTAATTGTTCGAAACTGGTATCTCGAGAATTGCCGATGTTTCTATCAGTTAACTGCGGAAACATTCGTTTTAAAAAGTCTCGTTTATCTTGAGTTCCAACAGTAGTAAATACTGTGCACCCTGCATGTAAAGCTATAGAGATACTGGCTTGTCCAACACCTCCACTCCCAGCGTGGATTAAGACACTATCGCCGGATTTCAAGCCACCTCGAACACAAAGGGCGTAGTAACTAGTGGCATATGCAACTGGAACGGTCGCTGCTTCTTCTAGAGACCATTTATCGGGTACTTTCCACATGAAACCAGGATCAGCTACAGCAGTAGTTGCCAAACCACGAGCTGGCACCATAGCCATGATACGTTGACCTTTCGAGTCACGTCCGGAAAATTCTAGACCCAGTATACAGTCTTGATTAGCTAGATTTCCGGGAAGAGCATCCGGTGGCAATTTTCCAGTTGCTAACATAATGTCCCTAAAGTTTAATGGTGCATAGTACACAGAGCACAATTCTGTATTTGGGAACTTTTCTGGTTGATGGTAGCTCAATGGACTTTCGATCCATCTTAAGCTGCTGAGATCACCTCTGTACAACGCATTAATGTAAGCATGTTCAACTTGAAGAGATGACGCATCACTTTGTTGATCTAACTGTAAGTGTCTGTAACTTCCCCAATTGCCGCCTTTCAGCACGTTAGCTACCAATTGTTTATTCAATTGTTGAGCATAAAACTTATCATGCAAATTGAATTTGGGTAAATTTTTGTCTTGTATGAAAACATAACGTGCATTTAAACCACCATCCTCACGACGAATACAATTCATGAATCCAGTCATACCTACGAAAAAAAAAACAACAAAAAATATTATAATACTAAACATACTTTAATAATAACTAAAAATTGTATCTTCTCAAGAAAACATTTAATAAAATATCTTACCAAACAGTTCTTCACCCTGGCTAACAAAAAGAAGTTCTTGATTCTCAGATACAGATTTTTTCAAAGCTGCCTTGACATCTTCTAGCCAGGTGAAATTCTTTTCTGTTATTTGTATGACAATAGGTGCAGATCTCTGTTCTTTTTTCTTGAATAAATGATATGACTTTCCAGGAACAGTTTGCTTAGCAACGTGAATTAGATCTTGATTTACCACTGAATTACTGTTAACTTGACTTGTTTCTTCTAAGAGAATAAATCCTCCATTATACTTCAAACTATTTGCCAGATTTTGCAATATATTTGACGAGTTGCTGGATAACACGTTATTAGCTACAATGAGATTCAGGTCTTGTCCAACTTGTTCTATTTGTTCGTTGCGTTTTACGATTTTAATATTGTGTCCTTGCAAACTGCTGTATTTTTTAAGTGAAGCTGTTACCACTTGTAGATCAACCTAGAAAAAAAAATTATGTAACTTCATTTTTTCGTAAATATTTTTTAAACTAATTTTAGAGAACCTACAGTAACCAAAGGTTCGCCATAAAGAATGTCCATCACATTGGATGCGAGTAAAGACTCCACAGAATAATTTCCAGCCACTTCGACAGCTTTAATCTTATGTCCTGACAAATTTTCGCAAACAATTTGCAATAACACAGTAAGAGCATTTAATTTAGCTTTCTCTGGATCCTGTACCAGTGGTTGAGGATTTTCATAAGCCACAAATAAACATTTTTCATGTTTAAGAACTTGTGCTTGTTGCTTTTTTGCAACCAAAGAGGCTTTCATCTTTCTAATTTCAATACCGCCTGATTTAATAATACCAATGTTTGAATAAGAGTATACCGGGACTCCCTCATCTTCTTTATAATTTTTAATGAAATCTAAGTGAACAGTGGGGTTAATTGCAGCATACTGTAAGCGAACCGGTACATACAATCCTCTCGAGTCTTTTTCAAGGATAGAGAATTGCAGCATGGTATCCATGAATGTGACCCAATTATTCCAGAGAAGTCTACCAGAGCCCCCGCGATTATGGGAGGATTTAATTCCCTGAAAGACTCCACTGTAATCATATCCTCTCAACCTAAGTTCTTTATAAATATCATTTGTATTCAATTCCAATAATTCACTTTCATTTTTAAGAACTAGTGCAGGTATATTCAATAACATTTTATCAATATTTTCTGGTGTGGAAATGGTTCCAGTTACCGCAACAGATCCGTTTTCACAAATTTCAAACTCGCCAGTGCCCATGAATATATTGATCAAGAACTTCACGGAACCTTCTTTTGACATGATGGTGGCTCTTTGGAATTTTACATTTTCAAACGTAACTGGTAATTTTTCATAGTCGACTCCACGTAATTTTGCGAAGGTCTTCCAGACTAGCACTAAGTAACCAGTAGCAGGGTAAAGAATTCTTCCATCAATGGTATGACCGGATATATAAGCGTCTAATTCATTAGACAGGTTTACTTCCACTACGTTTTCCCCGGAACTCGCATTCTTTGATCCGAAGTTAGCGTAGCTCCATTCGGTGGAATGATCCCACTGAACCAAGGAATTGATCATTGGCGTACCACGACCAACTGGATAATTAACTGGTGGATACAACTTAGATACTTTAGGCTGTCCTCCTGCTATGTACAACTTTCCTATACTTTCAAGAAGGACAGCCAAATTGTTTGGATGATCTCGTTTATGCAGACCAATATTAGTCACAGATGATCCCAGTGATCTACGCAATACTGCTTGTAGCAGACAATGTGGCGCGATTTCGATAACTATAGCATTGGCTGGAATATGAGATAATGCTTGGTAAAACAGAACTGGAGACAATAAATTGTTCACATGATAAGCAGCACTGCTAAGTTGCGACAATGGAGTACCCCAAGCTGATTCGGGTATTGATGTAGAGATCCACCTAGAAGTTCTCTGTTTTGGGCTTGGAATAATTTTCTCCAACATAGCGCGAAGCTTCTGGCCCACCGGAGCTACATACTTGCTATGGAAAGCAACACCTGAGCTATTCACTACTTTTATAAAAATGTTTTCTTTCTTCAGTTTCTCTGCAAATTTTTTTATAGATTCAGTTGGACCAGAAATTGTTACAGAGTCACTTGAATTGTTGCAAGCCGGTATTATGTCGGGCGGGCATCGAGCTGCTATTTCGTCCCAACTCAATCCTACAGCAGCCATTGCTCCAGGCTCTAATTTAGAATCCTTAATCGTTCTTCCTCGCCAATATGCAGCCAAAACGGTTTGTTCCGGCGTAAAAGTACCATCTGCATAAGCACATCCTAATTCGCCAACAGAATGTCCAACTATACCATCAGGTTGGATACCCAAAAACGTTAATAAATCAACAAGTGCAACTTGAATAGCTGCAATCGAAACAAACGAATGTAGAACGTTTTCAAACGTCTCAGCTGTTCCATTTTGGATAAGATTCATCAGATCGATTCCTTCAGGTTTTAAAGCTTCGGCACATCTTCGTAGACTTTTCTGGAATACCTCAATAGAAAGCAGATCTTTACCCATGCCTGGCCATTGAGACCCCATACCAGAAAATACAAACCAAACTGGACGTTTTTCACCAATAAATTGACCAATTTCTTGAAAATTAACATTTCCCATAATCGAGTATCCTCGGAAAAGATGGCCTGATATGTTATTTGCGTGAATATCATGAAGTAGAGAAATAAATTCATCGTCTTGTTCATATTCCTTGGCTTTGTCCAAGAATGAACTCACAGCTTCTTCAGTTCGACCAGATATAGTAATGAGTTTGGGTACTTTGCTATCTAAAACTGGTGACAATTTTGGCTTTGGATTGCTACGAAGAACAACGTGTGCATTAGCTCCACCAAAACCAAACGAATTTATTGCTATTATTCCGCCTTTCCACGGAGTGTTTTTGTCTACGACTTGTATACTTCCGTCACTCAACGAAGGTATGTCTTGATTTGGACTCTTGAAATGCAAATTACCTGGAATTACACCTGACTCCATGGCAATAAACAATTTTGCTAATGAACATACTCCGCTGGCAGCTTCTGCATGTCCCATGTTAGATTTAACAGAACCAAGCAATAAAGGACCCTTTCTGCCTTTACAAAACAAACTTGCAATAGAATTGATTTCTTGCGGATCTCCGACCTTGGTTCCGGTTCCATGAGCTTCTACATAAGAAACGTCTGCAGGGTTAATACCTATTTCCGTGTAAACTTCACGCATCAACTTATTCTGCATATCTCCACTAGGATAAGTGATTCCTTGAACTTTGTTACCATCAACATTAGTCTTGGAATGTAAAATAGTGGCATAAACTCTGCGTGCATCCTTTGCTCTTTGCAGATAAATAACCGAAATAGCTTCTGATCTAACATATCCTTTGCCATCAGCGTCGAACGCCTTGCAGGCACCATCCGGAGACAACATATTTAACCGATGGAACTGAAGTGAGCTGGTGGGTTTCAAGAGAAGATTACAACCACCGACAATAGCTGCATCACATTCTCCCGAACGCATTGCACAGACTGCGTGATGCATAGCATACAGAGATGAAGAACATGCGGTATCTAGTGCGTAACTAGGGCCATTGAAGTCGAATGTATATGAAATCCTATTTGAGAACATAGCCCTGCAGCATCCGGTTAATCCATATCCTATAAATATGTTTATATTATTATTGTTATTATTATTTACATTAATATGCTATTGCTAGAAATATCGAGTCTACCAACCATTAACCTGATCCGGATCCACGGTCCAAAATTCATCTGATTCTGACGATGAAACACCTATGAACACGCCAGTCTTGGACCCTCTGACATCATTTGGATTGATACCAGCGTCTACAATAGCTTCGTAAGTTACTTCCAAAAGCATACGTAACTGTGGATCCATTACATGAGCTTGCTTCGCGTGAACACCAAAGAAGGTAGCATCGAAGAGTTCAAGATTCTTCAGTTTACCAGATCTCTCAGGCAAACCGTGAAGACCAGCGGCCCATCGCCGCTCATCGTCTGTGATCATGTCAATACCCTCGAATAAATTTTTCCTGAATTCTTCAACATCTGAGGACTCTGGGAAGCGGCCTGAGAAAACGTTTAAATAAATTAAAAGAAATTTTTACTAACCAGTGATAAAATATAAATGAAACGTAGAAATAATTACCGGAAAAGCCGCTAATTACAATTTCATCATTTACATTGTATGGCGTGGTATTGCCATTCATCATGGTTGGTTCTCTCACGATGGGACTGTTTGCACTTTCAAATTGTGCTGGCATTATGATAATCGTGATATGATCAGCTTTCGTTAGAAGTTTTCTATTTCTGCCGAATTTATCAGACGCGGGAGCCTAGTGGACTATAAGCTAAAAATAAAAAAGAAATATGTTACTTATCGTTTGAAATGTTACACAATTTACTATATCAATTTAACATATATACAGTTGCATCACACAATTATTCACTCTTTTTTTTTCTTTCGCCTAACAGTCGTGTTTAACCCCCACCCCCCACCCCA